GCTGTTTCAGTAGCAACAACCTTGTGACAGGAAAAACACCAGGTGGGAATGAAGTTTGCAAAACTTTCCTGTCATTGTGGCAAGGGACTCCCGTGTAATTCTGTCCTCCCTTTAATGGGTCTTTTCATTATGGTTTTATACCATGTTGATAGGGACTTTGCCCTGAAACTTTGGGGGAGCAGAGCATGCTGGGCATACCAGGAAGGACCAGCGTCTGGATGGGAAAGTTTTGTGAATCACCTGTTCACCCTATATCCTGTTTTCTCCCATGCATCCCTCCCCCCCTTCCTTTTTTTTCTAATCCATTCCCCCTCGAAGTCTTTCATTTCCTGGGAATGAGCAATTAAGAAGATCAGGATTATTTTTTTTCCCTCTCCACAAAGCTTTCTCACGTGCCCCGTTAAACTTACAGCAAGTCACAAAGAAAAATACTCCAAGGAGGGTTTAGATGCTCTTCAGGATTTCCAGCTAGGGCACCCAGTGTCTTGCTCTGCCCGTGTGCCTGTTGTCCTGGAGTTGATAGGAGGGGAGAAAGGAAGAAAAAAGTGAGGAGGTGGGGTGGAGGATGGAGGGGGGACACGGGGGGGACAGACACGACGAACGACACGGGACGGGGACGAATACCAAGGGCTCAGGCAAAACAAGAGACACAACGAGGTCCCCCACCCCTATGCTTTTTTTCTTTCTCTACCTCCAGTATAAGATATACCATCCCTAGGCAGGGCAATTTCTAAGACGTGGTTTTCCCCTCCAATTTTTCCCACTTCTAAGCTGCGCACCGGTGTGTGTGCATGCGTGTATGGGTGCGCATAATCGATAGAGGGAGCTTAGCTATGAAAACTGGTAGGCACCATCTCTGGGGATTTCTGCTGCCAGGTAAGATTTGGCTTTTCTTCTTCTCTTTGTTGAGTCACCTTTTAGAGAAGATGTCCTTTAGCTGGGTTCTTTGGTCAACAGTCTCTGTACCCGTCTCCTGTGTCCACCTATTCTAGCAAGTGCAGCTCCGGCGCCTGTGGGCTGACACACAATAAAGGCACGTCTAAGGAGGCTTACTGCAAAGCGGAGGAGTTTCCAGGCGAGGGGGAAGGACTTTTTTTTTCATTGCCTGGAGTTTGAATGAGTGGAGGGACGCTTCAGGAACTGCCTGGCGGTGTCTCAGCCTGCTGCATGCATGCTCAGGGACGGGCTCGTCCTTGGACCTGACCATCGGGCACAGCCCCACATGCCCGTCCTTGGGAGGGTGAGCACCACTGCTGCCCAAGCTGTGTCACAGGTGAGTTATCGGGCGTGCTTTTGGTGGGGTAGAAAGCAGAGCCACCAGAGAGGGCTCCCACACCGCAGGCTGCTGGAGGCAGGAACGCGAGGAGGGGTCGGCACTCCAGCTGTGAGCCCTGGTGGCAGGCAGGGAGGAGGTGTGAGCGTGGCCAGCAGCCATCCTTCGGACAGAGTGTCACCCACCTGGACTTACTCAGTTGTCGTAGGTGTGATGAAGTTTGTGAGGATCTCTTCAGTCCAGGTCACCCACTTCAGTGTATTTCCTTCCTGTTAGAATGACTGGTGACCAAATTCTGCCCACTCCTCATTTCAGTATTCCCATAAAAGGCAATTTTACGGTGGAACTTCCTTGGTTTGATTTGATTCTTCCTAAGTGTGGTGGTAGAACATCATGTTCTTCCCTCCTTTAGCTTCACAGAGACTAAAATATTTCTGCTTTTGATGGCTCCTGCTTCAGCCCTGTCCAAAAGAACCTCTGTTCTCTACATCTATTTTGGGGGTGATGGTGTAGAATAAATTAACAGAATTAGACGGTGTTTTCCCATATGTACCTACTCTTTCTTGACTATCATGGAGTAGAGCAGCTTTTTGGGGACAGAAAACTGCCTTATACAATGCTTTCTTCAGTGGCTTGCTTTCTTAGTCTCTGTTAAAAGTTACAAAACAGATTTAGAAGAACTAATCCATGGAAACTCCACTGCTTAGATGTCTTCAAAGAGCCTTGAAGATTTTAGAGTGCTCTGCAAGCTTCAGAAGATGTTACTTGTAATTAGGAAATACTGCTTAGATATTAAAGGTCCCTTCCAACCTAGACGATTCTATGATTCTATAAAGGCAGAGAAAATACATTGTCTATGTATACATATTTAACTGTTTATGCTTTGGAAAACTTGGTTTTGTTCTCCCCATATGATTATTTGCTTATATAACAGCTGAATATCTTTACTGCCAGAAAACCTGCATTTAGGAATATTGTATGCACGTTTAATAATAATGACTGATAAAACCTATTAATATATTTTCATCATTGCAAGCACTATGTGGTAAAGATACATACTTAAAACAATAAGCAAACCTAAATCTAAACCTTGTGCCACGGTAATTATTGCTCAGGTCTTATTCTCAAACTGCTAGTGAGCAGGTATACAATGTACTTTACCCACAAAATAATATCCTTTCATTTATGAGTTTGTCTTCCGATAGATCTAGCTTTAAGACATTAGTGTGTGTGCATATGCATCCAAAGGTAGACGCTTCTGCAGTCATACATGTGTTAGATCATGTAAAGAATGTATGATTCATCTCAGCTGTATGCACACACACACAGAAATATGGGAGGAGATGCCTGCAGGCTGCTAGGTACAGAAGGCTGGAATTTAGCACTGTAACCACGAGTGGGCTGAATTTGGCCCAGAGTGTTTCAGTGGTGATGAGGTGACTGCATTTATCTTGTCTCTTTAAAACACAAGACAGAAAATAGAGAACAAACTCAACCTTTCTTAAAGGATCAGAGTGCCACAGACTGAAGCCTGGTTCTTTGTTGTCATCAGCCAAACTGGTCTGGTAATCTGATCTCAATGAAATGTGCCACTACACAGTGTTATGTTTTGCTGGCATTGCTGCCACATCTGGGAAGGAAGAGCTGACACGGACCATCTGTCCTCATTTTTCATGGCACTGGAGAAATACGGTATCCAAGATATGGCAAAAACCTAAGGCTGTCACTGTACCCAAGCCAGTAAGAGATCATCCTTACTGGCCAGGTATCTGCTTGGATAAAACCAGATCTATCTCTGACCTCCCAACACAGTTGGCAGCTTATTACAAATACTCCCAGTACAATACCAATGGCGTCAAAAAGTACTTGAGTGGCAAAGAGCAAGTTTGTGATTAGAACGAAACACTCATATTCATGCTGGTTGCACAAAAGAGGAAAGATTAAAGCTAACGTTGCGGTGGTCTGCGGTATGGCTGGGCACACTGCTCTGCTCTCTGCCTTGTGTTCCCAGTTTCCCTCAGAGGCATTGTCAGGGCAGCAAAACCGATGAGAGATATCATCGCAGGTTTCTCCGGGTCAGAAAACTGCTGACCTCCTTAAATCCATGCCATAGGAAAAATTGGGGATACATTAAAGCCTGTAAAACTTGTATGGCTATCAGTCCTTCCTAGCATGCTTCCGTTTGCCATACAGAGTCTGATAAGAAATGGTAATATTTTTTATATTGCTGAGTACGTTTTGTGTACGTGCTGCTGTCCATTGGAGACCTGTACCGACTCAGTGTGACATGAATTTCTATGCTGCTGCCAAGCATCGGCGTGTCAAACTACACCTCCATGGCATTTTTTTGTTTGGTTTTTTTATCAACCCTGCATATGGGGTGCAGTGGAGGATACTGTGCAGGCCCCCTGCTCCTCTGCTGGACTAGGTTGTAAGTTTTCTGCAGCAAGCACAAACCATTCTTCCTTTGTTATTGTTGTTTTAAAAAAATCTATATACTTATCAGTGCTGACAAGGAAATGCATTACAGTCCCTGTCAGGGCAGTGTCAAATGTAAATAGTTCTCTTATGTGTAGTCAGTAGCTCTTATTTCATCCGATGCGATGAAGAGATCTCAGTGAAAATGTTGGTGCCACAGTCTTTTTGCCTGGCCCGTATGTGAACAGAGCCTAGGCAATATTTGCATAAGGAAATCTTAGCATCTAGATATACTTTTGTTATTTTTTACTTACATTTCTGGAAGCACGTGTGCGTACTGCACAGACCCTTGGGAAGCCATGAATACATGTGTATGTACAAGCATACATACATATACATAAAACCATATATATTTTTAATTTATGTAGGATCTGCATCTTTAGGCAAACAAAAAAGAATAGGAACTTCTATTCGCATTTTCAGCCTGTAGTTCTATAAAACATAGTGCTGCTTAAAACTGAACACAGAAGCTGATTTCATAAATATTTTCAGATCTGATTTAGAGATTGAAATTAAGAACAAAGTACTGCAGTATGTAAGTGGAGATTTAAGAATTACTGATATCTTTTGTTCTCAAAGTGCAGTATTTAAGTTTTCTTTACTTCTTTGTATTTACCTGCAAAAAAGCAAATTCACATTTTTCCTGTAACAATTGACCACTGAGCCCTAAGGCCCTATCTAAAATGGTAAAGGGAACTAAACCTCTTTATTCTTGTGTAACTCATTAGCTGACATCAGACGATTAGAGCTAATGTTTCAATCTAAAACAATTCAAGTCCCTCATTAACGGGGCTAGATTTCCTTTGATCTAATTACTTAATGTCCCAGATATATGGGAAATTCAGAGATCAGCTCTGAGAAATCTCTGTAGACATGGTCACATCTAGAAACGTGAACTTACAGATAGGCTCCAGAAATGTTGTTTAAAATGTTAACAAGCCTCATTTATTCTGCTGGTAATGCTTGGTCAAATGTTCAGTGAAATCACATTCATGATAGCTAGAGAATGAAGATGTTTTGCTGAGTATGATTTAATCTTCATTATTATAGGCAAGTGGATTGCAAATTTCCATAATTAAACATCCAGTGCACTGGTCAGATTCTGTTGTAAAGTTTGATAATTGCTGTTGTAGAGGAAACAGTACAGCGGGGTGTTGCTATCATGTGACGAGCTTTTGAGGCTGAGCTAATAGGATGCCCATTTAAAACGTTCTCCATATTTTCTGGTTTAGAGGCAGGGGACATCATCATGGAGATTTCATCAAAAGAAAATACTCATTTTTTCTCAAACAACACAATCCTGCCTGTGGACCGATCTTCATTCAAATCTGAATCTTCCGCATCAAAGGAAAAACACTCATGTTGTGGAGGTATAAAGGTAGAGTAAGAGTTTTTGAATATTCTAGTAGGGACTTAGAAAACCTCTTTTTTTTTTTTTTTTTTATTGCGAACTAACCCTTTTGCAGTTCTGATTATGTCTTGATGAGTCAGTATGAAATTATTGAAGATATTTCTAAGTCACAAAAAAGCCTGCTTCAGATCTGTATTTGCCTAATGTTTGGCAATGTTCAAATATAACATGTTGGTTGAGGCTTGCATGTTATGAGATCTTCAAGGGTCATCCTGGAAGGTCACTATATCCTTCTTATTGCACCACCTTTTTGTTCCCGAAGTTAAGTACAGAGTATTGGCAGACAGGTACCACAGGGACCTGTTAGTACAGATTGTTTTTTTAAGATTGCAGCCATGGTAGTCTTCTGGGCTCTGAAAAATATTATGTGTATTATGGTCCACGTGTGCTGTTATTAAAGTATTATTGTAATATTCCTGATTTGAGAACACGCTGCATGAGGTGACTTTTAAACAAAACTACAGAAGTCTCACCGCTGTATCTGCATTTCTCTCACCCATGAGACGTACCTCCTCGAGGCAATAGAAGCTCCCCGCTTTAAGCCTCGTAACATAGCTGCACCTACCTGACGGTAGGACCGCTGCACCTTGGAGGAGCATTCCCGCCTGCGTGGGACACCGTGTAGCAGGA